GACCCCTTCCTCTTAATTATTAAATATAATAGTATTAATACAAAATTATAATTTTAAATTAATTTTTTATACCATATGTAATTTATTGGATAAAGATAGTACAACCTATAAGAAATAATTTATATAAGTTAGAAAAATTATATTTCCAAATGAAATCCATCTCAACTATGCCAAGACCACTAAGGTGTAATTTTTGCTTGGGCTACAGCGTTCTATATTTTATGCAAAAGAAGAACTATCCTAGAATAGGACTTGCGTTTGGTCAATGCACCGAAATAGTCTAAGAGTTAGAACCTGTTGGATAATTTAGGCTTTATTTAGTATGATCATGATTTTTAATTTTTAATTTTAGTTTCCACAAATTTTATAACTACTAAGACTAATAATTTATCATGTCATAAATGGAATATTAGCATTCACTTATTAGTTTTAGTCATGTCATAAATGAATATCGAATAGTTGTGTTTGGTTAACCATAAGAATGTTTATGTGGATGGTAGAAGTAGAATAAGATAATCTAGGCTGCACAAGTGGATCAAAAGTCGAGAAAATGTGAAACCAACAATTCTAGGTGAAGAAACAGACCTGGTCACTGAAAAAGGGTGCAATAGGGATATCAATGACCTCCTTTCCAATCCTTTCTGCACTTCCTCCTTCTGCTGCTCCTTTCACTTGCACCTTTGAAAATGTTGAGGCAAATGTAACCATCTTTGGACCGTTAAGTAATTTCATCCTTGACAATGATGGACACTCAAGTTTATAATTTCCCACACAGAAACTTGTCAAGTTGGGACAAGATTCCAAATTAATGGTTTTTAACAGTGGGAATATTATCTCTTTTTCATCTACCTCCGTACCTTCCTCTTCTATGATGATTTGCTCCATCATTTCACAGCTTTTCACTTTCATCTCTATGAGGGAAACGAGACTCGAGGCCATGGAAGGTGTTAAGAGATATTTCAAGTCACTACAATTACAAATTTCGAGGACACAAAGTTGTTTGAAATCTAAGATCTCTTGTGGATTCTTGTTCCATATTTCCACCAACTGAGGAAAGTCTGTGAGCTTCAAATATTGTAACCCAGAGAAACCAACCTACCAAGTACATACTTTAGTTATTAACATAAAGAATATATCCAAATAAACTAATAGAGAAAAATGAAAAAAAAAAAAAGCAATAGCTTACTCCTTGCATATGATGAATGGAATAACTGCAAAAATTGCAATAACAAATAGGGGAAATTTATGGCTCAATTCATACCTTTTCTTTGTACAATTGATTTATGGTACTATTCAGCTCAACCACCGGACGCCCTACAACATCTTCTTGTGTTAATCGTATTATCTGCAGTCTTGGAGTCCTCACCACTCCGTGACAGAAGGTCTCAAAGTTGGCACATTGAGCCACCATCACTTCTTCCAACAATGGGAACTCGGGTGTGAAATTTGCAGAACAGAAGCTTGCAAGTCTTGTTAAGAACTTGAGTTTCAAAACTTTTAATTTGCTGAAAACAATCACATCTTCAAAATCTAATCCATCTCCTTCTCCTCCAACTATTTCTGTCAGAAAGTGGCAATTTTCTACGGTGATACTTTGGAGTTGCACCAGATTTTGGGCAGTTGCAATTGAAAATAAATTTCTTAACCCTTGACATTTTTTTACCAACAAAGTGGTGAGATTTCGGAAAGGTGGTGTAGATTCTGATAAGCTAATCAATTTATCACATTGCAGCACTTTAAGAGATTCAACATTTTGAACAAGTAGATCTGATGCTGAGCCTTGACTCCATATATACTTCAGATTACGAAGTGCATCCAGCTTCAACTTTCTAATACGTAAATGCCATCTTGCATCTTTCTCCTGCCAATCAATGGATGCTATAGAAGGGAACAACTCCTTGAAATTAGAACAACCTATAAAAAGCTTTTCTAAATTGAAAAATCTTTCAATGAAGAAGAATGGAAAAACCGCCGATGCACTGTGGTAGCAGAGAACACGAAGACCTTTAACATGGGAGAAGAGGTCTTTTGGAAATTGGCAATTACATATCATTGCAATGTCATCCCTTGTTAATGATAGCCTCTCCAATCTAGGAATGACCTGAAAGCCAAAGTAAGAAAACATAATATCATACCACTTGTTAAGGATTTTGAAAAAAATATTAGAAGATATGCATTAGTAAAAGTTAATACTAAAAATTAGATAAAACCGAGAACTTTGTTACTGACAAATGAAAGAGAGCTACAATGGTTGAAAGAGAGAAAAGATCTGAGATCTCTTACTCTAGTTCTATATTTGAGTATTTATAGGATTATAGTATATTACAATAGAGTTCATATATATAGAATAACGTCTTCTAATTCAACTGAATTAGTTTTCCATCCTTTATAAGATTCTAAGATTTTGCAGTTGCATCAGTGGAGGTTTTTGTTGGAAATGGTGCCTTAAATTGCTCAAAGCAAATATGGAAAATTCTAATTGAGTCTTGCATTTAAAGTCATGGTGTGATTTTGTCTTCTAATTGGGTTCCAACTTGATTAGGAACCTTAAGACCTGTATGACAATATATGATAACTTCTATTAGTACTTGAATTTGTACTCTTGTAGAAATTTAATAACCCTACTTCAAACATAAATTTGTGATATAAGCAAACTTACTTATGTGTGTTGTTATAACTCACCACTATTGGGGTGATTAAGGTTTTGCTTGACTAAGCTTTGCATAAACCTTTTTCCACACATCTTATTTAACAATGAAAATTTTTTATTCTTATTTAATTTTAATTAATTATTTTTTTATATTTTTAGAATAGTAAAAGGAAAAATAAAACTATAACACCAGCGTAACACAAGAACACTAACAATCAAAGTCTAGAGAGTTTTAGAGTTGGGTGCTGAGCGAAAAGATAAAGAAATGACGGTGCAATTGGTTCACAAAATATATTTTTCAAAAATTATTTTTTATATTTTTTTGTAGGAAAATGTTTGAGAGGCAACTTTTTTATTTAACTTTTCCTCTCATTTTATTTGGACACTTGATATTGTATATATCCACTTATTTATAGTCTATTTGATATAGCGGTTTAGGTTAATAATTAGCAATTTTGTCTAAACTGTTGTAGAATAAAAAATATAAAAGTAAAATCAACTTAATTGCTTCTAAACATGCATTTATTAGTTATTTAACATCAAACAACGGTCATTAATTATTGTATAACTAAATGATTATATTAATCAAAATCTACTATCTACTATTTGCTACCAGATTTTTGCCATCTATCATTCATTGACCACCATCAGCTACAGTTATTTACTAAATTTTAATTGCTATACTAAACAGGCTTTTAGTGATATCTGAAAGTTATATAAAAAAAATTATATAAAAGAATTATATTCACATCGTTACCTTGTTTAATATTTGGTTAGAAAATAAATCAATGGAAATCATTTACAACTTACTGAAAAATATTACCCCCTCCATTCAACTTTAGTATAACTAATTTTTTTTATTCAATAAAATAAGAATGTAATAATTAATTGATAAAATTTCATATTTATTTCTAATTATTCACTATCTGAAAACCTCCTTATTTAATATATGTTGTATTTATTTTTTTAAAATAATAATAAATTAGGAATAAATATATTACATAATATTCTAAAACAGGTGAACAACTAAGACTATTTAGTTTGGTTTTAGTTTTGATTTTTTTATATTTCAAATATTTAGTAACCATAACTATACTTAGAAGTTAAATTTATTATAAAAATTCAAATTTATTAAATTTAATTTAAATATAATACTAGTTATTAAATATATAAAAATAAAAATAAAAAACCTAAAATCAAAATTATAATAAAGCCTAAATTTATACACAATTATGTTTACTAAACTTGGGTGAAGGAAGTATTAGTCATTCCTCAAATTGTTTTAAGAAATCTGGAAATTGACTTCTGGATAAAAATTCCAAAAGTCCTTTTCCTTAAAAGCACTCAGATTCTCGAAGAGACTACTAAGCATTTAGAACAAGTTTATTAGCAAATGGTTGTGATGATTGCTAGGATTGATATTTTTAGAAATTAAAGAGTGCCGGATTCATTATAATAATTTTTTAGATAAAACATATAATTAGTTTTAATAAATGTGAATAAATTTCAATTATTGAAAGTAAAGAGATAAATAATTAAAATTTTATATAAATATAATATGTAAAATTTATATATAAATAAATCTCTACTCTTAAGTAAATAAAACTACAAAAAGTAGTCAATATTTTTCCAAGTACACAATTTTTAACCGCTTAGTAAGGGCAATATTTTAAAATTTCGAGTTTGGGTCAAGGGCCAAATTGGTAGTACATGACACTAAAAATAATTCTCAAGGTTAAAACCCGTGTGGAAATATTTTTCTAACCTCCCCTAAATTGTGTTATTATTCTTTTAAAACCACCCCAAACAGGAATTATCCCTATTTGCTTTTAGGAAAACTGATTATATGTGTGAATCATTTTCTTATTCTATGGAAATTAATCACCTTTTATTTTACATTTACCTTTTTGTTAAGCTATTATTATTTGTTATTTCTGCGACTTAGCTATCAGCATATTTGAAACAACAGCTATATAATTAACATGTCACATGAACTTAATAATAATGGACAGTAATTGATACACACTTCGACTCAATACACTGCATGATACATTCATTAAAAAATTATTATTTTTTAATCTGAAATTAAAGACAGACAAATTTAATGATATAATCATACACACAGGATATAAGAACCGATTGAATTAACTGTATTTATATTATATTTTTAATGATTAATCCAAAAGTATGTTAAAAAATGTATTGAACCGAGAGTGTACCAATCATTTTCCAATAATAATCAAGTGAGACACATACCTTCTCCACAATGAAAAGCGGTAGTTGAACCGGAAATGCACCAAGGCTCTTCGCATTTGTTTCCTTAATTCCTTCAAAATGATACCCTCGAAACTTTTTCAACATAGGCCACTCTGTCAGATGTTTCCTTGGGTAGAAGCATATGAGTCTTGGTAGATTCCACAGGTAAAGAGTAGATAAACAAGAAAACACAAATCTAGGAACTGCTTCTTCTCCTCCGAATGCTACGACTTCCTCTATCCCGCAACTTTCTAAATTCAACTCTTTAAGTTGCTGAAACTCCATAGCCACCGAAGCTGGAAACATATTTTGGAGGTTCGGACAACGCAGAGCACGTACAGACTGCAAGTTCCGAAAACTGAGAATACCTTGGGGATCTTTGGTCCACACATGCCTTAATCTTGGTAGATTCGAAATAGTCAGTTTTCTTAACAAGGTGTCCAGTACACCATGTGAGTGTGACTCTTCAATGTTTACTTCTCCAAGTTCAAATATCTCTTCTAGACTGCTACAAGAACGGACCATCAACACCTCTAGTGATTTGCATAATCTTCCAAGTATATCAGATGAAAAAATAGTCAATAATTTCCCACAATTTTCAATAACCAACGATTTTAGTTTGCAGAATGAATCTGCATGAGGTTGGTGGTGCCATATGATCCTCAAGTTCTCCAATCCAGCCATTCTCAATTCTTCCAACAAGGGAAATGCAACCTGCATAAACTTTCAATTAATCAAAATTAATTAGTTGGAGATCAGAATTGATTAATAAAGTTAAAGGCAAAATATAAGTATTCTAAGACATCAAAAAAATTCATCATAATGATTCCAAAGCAACGGCATGGAAAATGGCTTCACATTATTAATATGACAAAGATAAAGAGTCACATGTAATTAACAATCTTTCAAAAGAATGTACGTATTAGAATTTGATGCATTACTACCTCTACAATTTCTGTTTGAGATGGCTTGAGGACTCACATAGATGTTCAAGCCAAATCATTATCAACGAATCTGTTGAACATTGAACCATCGTAATTCAATGCAGAATGCGCATATTTTATCCATAAAGCATGTGAATGTTGACTACCGTATTCACTTAATTTTAGCCTCGTAATTAAATCAATTTATTTTGTTGACCATAAGTATATATTTATACACAAGGGTAACTACTCCACACAAGTGCAAGAGAAGCCCCAAAAAATTGAAAAGAAAAACTTTTCATGGAGAAACTGACCTCATCACTGAAAAAGGGCTCGGAAGGGATATCAGTATCCTTGCCAATCCTTTCTCTAATTCCTCCATCAACTGCCTTCTTCAATTGCACCGTTGAAAATGGTGAAGCAAATGTGGCCATCTTTGGACAGTCGATTATATTCATCACAAACAACGATGGAAACTCAAGTCCATAACTTCCCAAACAGAAGCTTTCTAAGTTGAAACATGACTGCAGAATAATGGTCTGTAGCAGTCGGAATATCATCTTATTTTTTGCTACCTCTATAGCCTCCTCTCCTGTTATTATTTGCTCAATCATTTTGCAGTTTTGTACTTGCAACACTTCGAGAACAACAAGGCTCAATGCCATGGAAGGAGTTAAGAGGTATCTCAAGTTACCACAATTACAAATTTCGAGGGAACAAAGCAGTCTGAAATCCAAGGATTGTTGAGGATTCTTGTTCCATATTTCCATCAACTGAGGAAACTCTGAGAGCTTCAAATGTGTTAACCCAGCAAATCCAACCTAGCAATTTATATATATAATAAGAAAGTGAAAAAAAGAAACAATAGCTTTACCTTATGTTTGATTAAAGAAAATTACAGTTAGAGACAAGGAACATTTATGGCTCAATTCATACCTTTTCTTTGTACAGTTGATTTATGGTGCCATTCAGTTCAACCACTGGACGCCCTATTTTGTCTTCCTGTGTTAATTGTATTCTCTGCAGGCTTTGAGTCTCCACAACTCCGTGACAGAAGGTCTCAAAGTTGACACAATGAGCCACCATTACTTCTTCCAACAATGGGAACTTGAATGTGAAATTTGAAGAACAGAAGCTTGCAAGTCTTGTTAAGCACTTGAGTTTCAAAACTTTTAATTTGCTGAAAGCAATCACATCTTCTGAATCTAATCCATCTCCTTCGCCTCCAACTATTTCTGTCAGAAAGTGGCAATTTTCTACAGTGAGACGTTGGAGTTGCACCAGACTTTGGGCTGTTGCAAATGAAATTAAGTTTTTTAACCCTTGACATCTTACTATCAACAACTTCGTGAGATTTTGGAACGATGGTGTAGATTCTGATAAGCTAATCAAATTATCACATCCCAGCACTTTAAGAGATTCAACATTTTGAACAAGTAGATCTGATGCTGAACCTTGACTCCATATGTATTTCAGTTTAAATAGTGTATCCAGCTTCAACTTTCTAATACGTAAATGCCATCTTGCATCTTTCCCCTGACAATCAATGGATCCTATAGAAGGGAACAACTCCTTGAAAGAAGAACAACCTATAAAAAGCTTCTCTAAATTGAAGAATCTCTCAACGAAGAAGAATGGAAAAACCGTCGATTCACTGCGGTAGCAGAGAACACGAAGAGCTTTAACATTGGAGAAGAAGTCTTCTGGAAATTGGCGAGTACATATCATTGCAATGTCATCACTTGTTAATGATAGCTTCTCCAATCTAGGAATCACCTGAAAGCCAATGTAAGAAAACATAATATCATACCACTTGTTAAGAATATTGAAAAAGATATTAGGAGATATGCATTAGTAAAAGTTAATACTAAAAATTAGATAAAACCAAGTACTTTGTTAATGATAAATAAAAGAAAGCTACAATGGTTGAAAGAGAGAAGATCTGAGATCCCCTACTCTAGTTCTATACTTGAGTATTTATAGAATTATAGCGTATTACAATAGAGTTCATATATATAGAATAATATCTTCTAATCCAACTGAATTAGTTTTCCATCCTTTATAGTTTTTAAGATTCTAACATTTTGTAGGTGCATCAGCGGAGGTTTTTGTTGTAAATGGTGCCTTAAATTGCGCAAAGCAAATATGGAAAATTCTAATTGAGTCTTGCATTTAAACTCATAGTGAGATTTTGTCTTCTAATTTGATTCCAACTTGATTAGAAACCCTAAGACCTGTATGACAATATATGCTAATTTCTATTAGTATTTGAATTTGTACTCTAGTAGAAATTTAGGAACCCTACTTCAAACATAAATTTGTGATATAAACAAACTTATTTGTGTGTGGTTATAATCCATCCCTATTGGGGTACGTGATTAAGGTTTTACTTGATCAAACTTCGCATAAACTTTTTTCACATATCTTATTTGAAAATGTAAATTTATTATTTTTAGTTAATTTTTTATATATTTTAATTAATTTTAATTAATATTTTTTATATTTTTAGAATAGTAAAGAAAAGAAAAAATTATAACACCAGCGTAACACAAGAACACTAACAAAGTCTAAAGGGTTTTTGAGTTGGATACTAAACGAAAAGATAGAGAAATGATAGTGCGATTGGTTCCCAAAAAATATCCTTTTAAAATTATTTTTTATATTTTTTTGTAGGAAAATGTTTCAGAGGCAACTTTTTTATTTAACTTTTCTTTTCATTTTATTTGAATACTTAATATTATATACATTCATTTATTTATAATTCAATTGGTATAGCAGTTTAGAATAACAATTAGTAATTTCATCTAAACAATTGTAGGATAAAAGTTTAGTAAATTTGTTTATTAAAAAACCGCTACAAACTAAATATCTCGTAAAAATTTTTATTTATCAGTTTGAAGTTAACAATAGCAGTTAGAGTTTAAATTGCTAGTTAATTAAATTAGAATTTTACAATTTTATTGATAAATTTATTCATTTTAGTTTTTTAAATTTTTTGTCAGTCTTTAATTAATACTTATGTAATTAATTTTAATTTTGGTTTTTAATAACATTAAATAAATATTATATTTTTATTTTTGACATTAACTTATCATAAAAAAATTATATTAGCTTAACAAAAAAAATTCACTAATCAGAATGATTAAAAATTTGTTTTTTCTTTAATTAAAAATAATATAATTTTTATTTGTTAAAAATAAAAATGAGTGTGTAATTCACACTTTCATATTTTATTTTATTTATTTATTTTCTTATTATTATTTTTATAAAATTAATAATTTTAATAATAAAAAATATAAAAGTAAAATTAACTTAATTGCTTCTAAATGTACTTTTATTAGTTATTTAACATCAAATAATAACCATTAATTATTATATAATCAAACGATTATATCAATCAAAATCTATTATCTAGTATTCACTACTAGATTTTTGTTGTCTACCATTCATTGCCCACTACCTGCTATAGTTACCTACTAAATTTTAATTGTTAAACTAAATAGACTCTCGATGATATGTGAAAATTGTATAAAAAATTATATCTATATCATTACCCCTTCTAATAGTTGGTTAGAAAATAAATCAATGGAAATCATTTACAATTTAGTGAAAAATATTACCCCCTCCATTCAACTTTAGTAGACCTAATTCTTTTTGTTCAATAAAATAAAAATGTAATAATTAATTGATAAAATTTTATCTCTAATTATTCACTACCTGAATAAGTCTTCTTATTTAATATATGTTATAATTATTTTTTAAAAATAATGATAAATTAAGAATAAACATATTAAATAACATTCTAAAAAAAATGAACAACTAAGACTCTATTTAGTATGGTTTTAATTTTGAATTTTTTATATTTCAAATATTTAGTAACTATAACTATATTTAGAAATTCAAATTTATTAAATTTAATTTAAATATAATACTAGTTATTAAATATATAAAAATAAAAATAAAAAGAAAACCTAAAATCAAAATTATATTAAATAAAGCCTAAATTTAAACACAATTATTTTACTAAACTTGG